GCGAAGCCCTGCGCGGATCACTTCACCATCACCGCCACCACGCCGTCGTGCTGACGAAACTCTTTCTCGACACTTTGTTGGATCAAGAGTTCAAGGGACGTCATCGAGCTGAACGTGTACTGAACTCGGAGGTGCCGTACGTTCGGTGCTTGATCGGTTGAATCACGAAGACGTTCGACTACATCAACCGCGTTAAACTAACGCTTCCGCTTTCGGTTTACGAGGGTACGTGGACACACTCCTCCCCCTCTTGTTGCTATGCATCTCCTAGATAGATCTTGCGTGATCGTAGGAAATTATTTGAAATTGCATGCTACGTTCCCCAACAGTAACTTCACATGTTTGAGTCCTTTTCCATTTTTTAACCAAGAATTTTTTCCGGACTGCAATCTCGTCTGGGTCTTCTGTCTGCATCGCGCGCCCTCGCGTTGTTTCGAGGCTGCCATATCTGGTCAATGAAAGTGCAGACAAGGTCCTAGTTGTCTGCATTCATTTTATCCAACATTGGTGGCACCTCGATAGAACATCCACCTCGTGAGGCACCTCCATGCATGCGTTGTATGAGGGCACAACCAGAAGTATGAAGAGTTGTATTTTCTTGGCCACATGTGATATAACATACATATATCAAGAGCATGATCGAACCGATTTGTAACACACGTGGAATGATTACTCATTATGTATTGTGATTATGTGTAGTACAATCAAATACGTGTATCCAGCCACAACCAGTAGTATGATTATTCTTTATATATCGGTTTGCGGTTTTTATTTTACAATCAATAATTTGGAGATTTATTCTGTTTTAAAACCAAACGAAATACATGAAATGCTTGATCTAATATATGAGTGTGTGGTAACAAACAATATTTGAACCGAATGCGTGTGCTTACAAATAAATCCTCTCCTTATATATTGTCATTGTTGCTCGAGGATAACACTTCATCCCACCCGGCGGCTGCGACATCCTATTAGCGTGTCGACATCTTTTTATATGTAGACGTCATACAGTCTGAAAGCACAAATTGTTTATATTTTTATTTATTTTTTTACTTATTTTGTTAATATAAAATTTAATAATTATATTTCTTCTTCTGTTCTTAGCATATTTCACATGAAGGTGTAGCTAAATATTAACATACAATATTCTATGTACAATTCTAACATTTAACATTGCTATAAAATTTCTGCGAAATCAAAACAATATTATGTGACA